ATTTTCCGCCCCTGACACGTGGTCCGCGGCCATTTTTCCGCCCCTGACACGTGGTCCGCAGCCATTTTCTGCCCCTGACACGTGGTCGTAGGGGGGGGGACTCCCTGTCCTCCACGCCAGAACAGATTAACGGTAATTACATTGAACCTCATGGGAAAATTTCCTTCGGGTTGTGACCAATTCGGGGTGCGACCAGAGTCACGGAACGAATTAAGTTCGTAACCCGAGGTTCCACTGTATTTATTTTTTTATCTCAAGTCTTTAAATTCTTTGCCTTACAATTTCTTATTTCTTTTCTGCATTCTGCATAAAATTGTTTACTCCAGAATGGAGTACTGCAATATGTATGCATGTATGTATGAAAGAGAGAGAATTCTATTTTAAAATGTGAGCCCTGTAAAGAAAATGATCAGTAATATGCTGAAAACAAATGCAAGATCTGGCTAATTCAAACTTACTACATAAATCTTGTGCTATTATAATGTAACTTCTGTAGGGATATTCAGAACAGTTATGTATTACCCCTACAGTTTCGATACCCAGGAAGAATGGAAGTATTATGTCAATGTCCTTTTCCCAGATATGAAACAATCACACATATGGTAGCTAAATTTTGCATTGCCAAAGAAACAAGGCAACAGTTGATGCAGGTGTGAACGCTGTTGTTTCTCCTTTTCAGTTATGTTTTTATGTAATTTGCTGACCATTGATTGAAATAAAATTGATCGTTTACTACACGTGGCAAAACAAAATTTACTGTAAAGTATATACTCATCAGGGAGATGCAGCAGAGCCCTGCCCTGGGATGGAATGTATCTGTATGATAAACTTGTTCACCATAATTACCTCTTTTAAAAAATATACAGTGAATTACTTCTGCAGATGGAAGCTGTAGTTGAACAGCCAGAACTGTTGCTAGTTGGGTAGAAAGTAGATCAAAGTCCATTATAATTCTCTGGGTGATAGGCAGTAAATTGGCAACAGTTTCTGGCTCCCAAATTCCAACTATAGGAATAACTAGAAGATTCTTGTCACAATAAATTGAATTGCTCAAAGAAAACACTTGAGGGAAATCCAAGAATGGATTTTTGAGTGAAAAGGCTTGTAAATTGCACTCTGTACTCATAAGGGGTTCATGAGCTGAGCTCAGAGACTTCCTATTCCTTTACGCTTCATGGATAAAGCTGCTGTTTTGCACCTGTAGTTGTTTGGTGGATTCATGGTTTGGGTAGAAACCATTTTGATCTAAGAGGACTGAGCTGTTCCCCAACCCGCTACCTTAGTTAGCATATTTGTCCATACTGCATGGCTGTGGGAGCAATTTTGCCCAAAGCTATTTAATGATAAATCACTATTTCGGGAGATTTATAGAATGAATAAAATCTCTTGATAAAGAGCCCAAACTACTGCCTGCAAGTCATCCAGTAAGCTGTGTTTAGATTTTTAAAAATGTGTTTTCCAATCCCAGAGATTTCTTGTATCACTATTGTTTAGCCTGTTTCCATCAGTAAAAACACGTACAATAGTAACCTGTCTCACTGGAATATGAATGAGAGATGAGTTGTATCCTAAACAATGCTACGTAAATTATGTATAATAATGAAGCCAAAATTATCACAATAGTTTGGAAAAGCTGATTTCTAAGCAGCTGGCTGCACATTTTGTGCAAACAGCTGTATTTTCTGTATCTTTGCTAATTACTACAGAGAATTGTGTTCAAAGAAAATCTTGCTCCCTTCTCTCTCATCTTGCTTTAGTGTTATTTATTTATTTATT